TGTGTGTGTGTGTGTGTGTGTTTATATATATATATATATATATATACATATATATATATATATATATATATATATATATATATATATATATATATATGTGTTATGTATTCAGAATAGCAGCAAAATGTATTTTCAAGCAGCAAAATAGCTGAGGCATAATGCTACAAAATATTTTCATCTATCCAGTGTTCTCATTAAAGATTTTTTTTACAGAAAATTGCCTCATTCAAGAGTGTAGATGAGTTTATTCCCATTTGTATGCAACAGCTCTTCACTGAACCTACTTCCATGGTCTCTTTATAAATTATCCACATCTGCAAATGGGACAGTAATAACCATGTCTGGATACCTAATGTTTTTGAGATACTACTCTTGCAAAGTTATAGCTTCCATTTTGTGTAAGGACAGAAACGGTTCAATATCCACTAATGCAGTTGTTTGTTTTTGTTTTTTTAAATGTCTCCATACTATAGTAAAATAATTTACTATTTGCCTAGTGTAGGGGAGTATGGGGCTAGTTGTCACAGTCAATATCTCGGTAATTAAAACAAGGTTTTTAGTCTTTTGAAAAAGAAGTGAATTTAATTGTAATAAATGTATTTTACATCTTAAAAGTGTATTAAAAACAGTACTAAATATAATACCAGTAAAATGTAATTTAAGTGTACTTAAAGAAAGTACACTTACATGACTGTTTCTTTAAAAAGTAACATTTTGTAATAAAGTCAAATGAAAAAGTTTATTTTAATTTTAACATTTTAAAATGTTTATATTTTAATAATCTTTTTGCTTATTATAAAGTCTAGATTTTAAGTATTTTTATGTGTTGATTGACAAAATTGTAGCGTGTTATTTGATATTTCATTTAAAGTTATAAATGCATTTTAAATATGCTAAATTGCAACTTCATCATGACAAATGTGTAATTACAAACATTTTAAAATACATGACACAAGTAAATTGTGTCAAATTCAGCTAATTGTGTTTAAACTAAAATTAATTTTCATTTAATTGCAATTAACATACAATTAAGTATGAAAACATTACATTCAGTGTGCATTCAAGAAAAAGTATATTTAAAGTATATTATTTCCATAATAAGGTCTTCTTTTTTTTAAAGCATGAGAAAGTGTCACTGTAAAAAGTAATTAGTTGAACTTACTTGGAAAACCTGTGGAAACTGATTGCCTCAAATTTCTCAAGCAAATTAGTTTATCATTTTTTAGTTAATAAAACTTACTGTAACTTTGTATAGGTAACTTGTGTATATGTATAGGTTACCAGAAAACTTGAGTGTTGCTAACTCAATTTGACAAGTTCAGCCAACTTAGGGATGTAAGTTAAGCTTAGTGCACAGAACTCTATATATTACACTCTTTGTTTTTGTTCTCTTGCTTATCTGATTTATTTATTTCTTTCAAACCTCCTTTTTTATTTTTATATTTTTTTCACTTACTTACCTTTATTCTTTTCTGTCCTTCCTTTCTGACTTCTTTCCTCTTTGTGTTGTTTCCTTTACTCTTCCTTCATCTAAATTGTCAGACTCCTTGTTACCTAATTTCTATTTTCTTTCTTCACATTATTTTTCTTACTCTTATTTAAAAAGGGTTCACCCAAAAATTAAAATTTTGTCATTAATTACTCTCTTATGTCATTCCAAACCAGTAAGACCTTCATTCATCTTTGGAACACAAATGAAGATATTTTTGATGAAATCTGAGAATGCTTGTGCATTCCTCTGCTTGTAAACAAGGCACAGTGCATGCGTGTTCTACCTCAGAACGCTG